CCCCCCCCCCATTTTATGGCGGGGGCATAAGAAGAAGAAATGCAGCAAAAACAAAACAGTAAGTGCCCCACTTCATTTTAGGGACTTTATAAAAGAGAAAATAACAAGAAACAGTTCCCTGTTGCAATGTTTAGATAAAAAAAAATTACTTAAATCTTAAAATCTGGAAAAACATAGCAGGAAAGTTCATTTCCTAAAATCTGAAGAGGATTATACAAACTTGTACTACCGCTCCGCTGTAGGTTTTAATATTAGTGGCCAGTATCATACTAAATAACCAGAATGGGCAGTCACTTTTTCTTTGCTCTCTCATGAAAGAGTGAAAAGCTTTTTATTCAATATTATACTTACAATGTAAGTGATTAGATAGTGCTTAACTATGCCAGAACTTCTTGTAATAACTATATAACATATCCACATCAAACTATATGATAATTGTCTTTTTATAATAATAATGATACCGTATACACAATTTATATATAGCGCCCTATATAATTTGTAAAATTACTCTAAAGCGCTTTCCAACATATGGATAATAGTAATGGTTATAATTGTGTAAACAAAAACAAAGGCTTACCGGTACAATCACTTTCATACATTTAAGCAAGCAATGTGCACATAATTGAACAAATGAAAGGGTGGTATTTACATGACGTGTTTGCAAGGATTCTATAATCCAGACGTGGAGAGGTGAGTTTTGATGTCCCTCTTGAACTTGGCCAGGGTATTTGACTTTCTAATAGCAGATGGTAAGCAGCATAAAATAAACATTCAAACAGAAGAGTCCACTATATAATATACATTCCGAGATTCAGATCTGCTACAAAAATAGAAAAGATTAACTTTAACTTTAAAGATTAATTAACATTTGCACTCCATTGCCACTATATTAAACACTACCAAGGCCACTTCCATGTTATGAGACCATAACACAGGCGTAGTGATATCTCCACGGGTCCGACAAACTACCAGATCGTTATTCCCCTCCGCACTAGGAAGCAGATAAGCAAAAAAAACCCAGTATGGTTCAATAATATTCACCTTTCTATGCAAGACTTTTATAAAATGTGAATTGAATATATTGATTAAATTATGGAAATAGTATCAATGTTTTTGTGTTTATTTCCACAAACTATATTTTTTTACGGGAAAAGTCACGAGACAACATTCAGTGAGCAATTTTCTACCTCTTGAACAAACACTGCAAATTTCAATTTCACAAATGCCTTATGAACTGAGAAATGAGGATTAAAAAAATTAAGAATGTAAATATAAGCATAAAATAGCATTCTGTTCCGTGTTATAGTCCTATATATAACATGGAACAGAATGCTGTTTAATGCTTAAATGAAAAAAATTCAAATGAAATAATCATTCAAATATAACTGGTGTAAAATTCTGCTTGTTTGTCACTCCAAATAAGAAAAAACAAAACATGAGCACATTGGGGCTTACTTTCTTCTCCAATGACGAAAGGGTCAGTCTGTGCATCCACTTCGGCTAAGGTCAAACAATCCTGGTCAGTTAGAGCTGCCCTGACATCACAAAACCATAAATGTATACAGAATGATACAATGTTATTGGACTTTCCTCCTATAATGATGTTCATAAGATCTTACATGTAACTAAAAATGTATATTCCTCGATAATGAACGATTGATTATCTCCCCTTAAAAGTGGGGTAGGTACTCACTCTGATGATGAAGTTAATGACCTCCCCTTATTAAGGGAAAATACCTTACCAAATGACATAGGGAATTATCTCCCCTTAAAAAGGGTTAATTACTTCCCCTGATGATGACATTTATGTTATCCCCGTGATCACTCCCTCCTGATGCCATTGGTAACTTCGCCTACAGACATCAATTTCTCCCCATACAGACATCAATTACTTCCCCTACAGACATCAATTACTTCCCCTAAAGACATCAATTACTTCCCCTACAGACATCAATTACTTCCCATACAGACCTCCCCCTACAGACATCAATTACTTCCCCTAAAGACATCAATTACTTCCCCTAAAGACATCAATTACTCCCCATACAGACCTCTCCCTACAGACATCAATTACTTCCCATACATACTTCAATTACTACCCCTACAGACATCAATTACTCCCCCTACAGACATCAATTACTCCCTCTTCAGACATCAATTACTTCCCCTACAGACATCAATTACTTCCACTAAAGACATCAATTACTTCCCATACAGACATCCCCCTACAGACATCAATTACTCCCCCTACAAACATCAATTACTTCCCCTATGTACATCAATTACTCCCCCTACAAAAATCAATTAATCCCCCTACAGACATCAATTACTCCTCTACAGACATCAATTATTTCCCTTCATACGTCAATTACTTCCCGTACAGACATCAATTACTCCCCATACAGACATCAATTACTTCCCCTACATACATCAATTACTCCCCCTACAGACATCAATTACTTCCCCTTCAGACATCAATTACTTCCCCTACATACATCAATTACTCCCCCTACATACATCAATTACTCCCCCTACAGACATCAATTGCTCCCCCTACAGACATCAATTATTTCCCTTCATACATCAATTACTTCCCATACAGACATCAATTACTCCCCATACAGACATCAATTACTTCCCCTACATACATCAATTACTTCCCCTACAGACATCAATTAATCCCCTTACATACATCAATTATTTCCCATACATACTTCAATTACTCCCCCTACAGACATTAATTACTTCCCCTACATACATCAATTACTTCCCTCACATACATCAATTACTTCAATTCTAGTACTTCCCCTACATACATCAATTAATTCAATTTAATTACTTCCCCTACATACATCAATTACTTCCCCTACATACATCAATTACTTCCATTCAATTACTTCCCCTACAGACTTCAATTAGTTCCATTCAATTACTTCCCCTACAGACTTCAATTACTTCCCCAACATACATCAATTACTTCCCCTACAGACATCAATTACTTCCCCTACATACATCAATTACTCCCCCTACAGACATCAATTACTCCCCCTACAGACATCAATTATTTCCCTACATAGATCAATTACTTCCCCTATGACAACAAAGATAATTTCCCCCTCAGGAGAACATTGATTATTCCTCCTGATAATGACATTGATAACTTCCCCCTGAGAATGACATTGATAACATCCCCCTAAGAATGACATTGATAACATCCCCCTGAGGATGACGTTGATAACTTCCCCGTGCTAATGACATTAATAACTCCCCTCTGTGAATGACATTGATAACTCCCCTCTGTGGATGACATTGATAACTTCCCCCTGTGGATGACATTGATAACTTGCCCCTGAGGATGACATTGATAACTTCCCCGTGAGGATGACATTGATAACTTCCCCCTGAGAATGACATTAATAACATCCCCCTGATGAAAACATTGATAACTTCCCCTTGATAATGACATTGATAACTTTCCCTGAGGATGACATTGATAACTTTCCCCTTGATAATGACATTGATAACTTTCCCCTGTGGATGACATTGATAACTTTCCCCTGATAATGACACTGATAACTTTCCCCTGATAATGACATTGATAACTTTCCCCTGAGGATGACATTGATAACTTTCCCTGAGGATGACATTGATAAGTTTCCCCTGAGGATGACATTGATAACTTTCCCCTGAGGATGACATTGATAACTTCCCCCTGATAATGACATTGATAACTTTCCCCTGAGGATGACATTGATAACTTCCCCCTGATAATGACATTGATAACTTCCCCCTGATAATGACATTGATAACTTTTCCCTGAGGATGACATTGATAACTTTCCCCTGAGGATGACATTGATAACATCCCCCTGATGAAAACATTGATAACTTCCCCTTGATAATGACATTGATAACTTTCCCCTTGATAATGACATTGATAACTTTCCCTGAGGATGACATTGATAACTTCCCCCTTGATAATGACATTGATAACTTCCCCCTGAGGATGACATTGATAACTTCCCCTTGAGGATGACATTGATAACAACCCCCCCCCCCCCTTGATAACTTCCCACTGAGGATGACATTGATTATATCCCCTAAGGATGACATGTATTACTTCCTCCTGAAGATGACACTGATTATTCCCCGAAAATGACATTGATTATTCCTTCTGATAATGCCATTGATAACTTTCCCCTGAGGATGACATTGATAACTTCCCCTTTAGGATGACATTGATACCCTACCCCCCTTGATAATGACATTGATAACTTCCCACTGAGGATGACATTGATTATATCCCCTAAGGATGACATTGATTACTTCCTCCTGAAGATGACATTGATAATTCCCCTTAAGATGACATTGATAATTCCCCAAAAATGACATTGATTATTCCCCCTGATAATGACATTGATAAGTTTCCCCTGATAATGACATTGATAACTTTCCCCTGAGGTTGACATTGATAACTTTCCCCTGAGGATGACATTGCTAACTTTCCCCTTGAGGATGACATTGATAACTCCCCCTGATGATGACATTGATAACATCCCGCTGAGGATGACATTGATAACTTTCCCCTTAAGGATGACATTGATAACTCCCCCTGAGGATGACATTGATTACTTCCTCCTGAAAATGACATTGATAATTCCTCTGAAGATGACATTGATTATTCCCCCAATAATGACATTGATTATCCCCCCTGAGGAGGGCATTGGTTACTCCCCCTGATAATGACATTAATAGCTTCCCCTGAGGATGGCATTGATTATTTCCCCTGAGGATGACATTGATTTTTTCCCCTGAGGATGACATTGATAACCTCCCCCCTGCAATGATATTGATTACTTTCCGAGAATGACATTGATTATTTCCCCTGATGATGATATTGATTATTTCCCCAGAGGATGACATTATCCCAGCTGACGATGATATTGATTATTTCCCCTGAGGATGACATTGATTATCCCCCTGACGATGATATTAATTATTTCCCCTGAGGATGACATTATCCCCCCTGAGGATCACTTTGGTGATGGTTTAATAACCTCCCATTGACGATGGCTAAATTACCTCCCTTTGCGATCCCTTCATATACTTCGCCAGAGATGGCATAATTACCTCCCTTTGGCCATGGCTTAATTACTTCACCTTGGCAATGGTGTTAATTATCTCTCCTTGGCAATGGCTATTATAACTTCCCTTTTGCAATCACTGGCTTAATTACTTCTCTTGGCGATGGCTTAATTACCTCCCCCTGATAATAACGTTGATTGAAACAGGTGGATCCCCATGCAGAGCGACCACGGAGCTGGGTGGGTACAAGATGATCAGGGCCGGTTTTATTTCCAACACAAGACTCCTCAGTGCTGAATCAGACCAGTCTGCAAATACTGGGACCTATCAAAGATTGATTTACTGTAAATTCATTTTTAAAAATGTTTCTTTTTGGCCAATTTTTCTCACTGCTGTTATGCTTTTACTTGTATGCTAAACAATATAGTGTTATAAGTCCTTTAATAATAAGTTAACTCTAAAGTATAATAATGTCTTGGGTCTATACATCCATACTCCAGGGGTTACGCTCATTTTTGTGCTCTCTGCACCCATGCAATATGCCATGACGAAATTGAAGGCGAGAGGCTAGCTATGGAATTTGCTTGGTCTCAGGTAAAAAGACTTGACCAATCGCTAAGCTGATAGACTTCAAAGCAAGTCAATTTTATTGTCAGGCCACCGACAGATTCTTAAATGGATGTACATCAAAGGATCAAACTAGTCTTCTCGTCTCATCCGCAAGGCGGTGCAAACTGAGCCTTTAACTTTGTTATGACAAATTCCAGGGATGCAGACAGCAAAAGTAAGCGTAACCCCCTGGTGTATCGAGGATGGGGTACCCATGTAAATGGATTTTTTTTTTACATTTTGACAGAATAGCTTTTTTTTCGATATACTTATGGATCTTTTCCCATTTTTCCAAAGATATGAACTATTTTTAAATTTAGATACTTCATTTTAATTTTACTTCAAACAAAATGTCAATGTGCCCAAATAGCAATTGATACAAAATATTGCATAGCTTAACATGCCATTCACAGTTCTCTTATATCAGTTTTCCTGACGCTCATATTTCTGATTCATTCTTGCCAATTATAGAATTAAAAAGAAGATTTAAATGATATATTGCAGTGACTTGTATAATATGCATAGCCTGTTACATATATATTATTTCATGGCTACTGTCGGCAGAGATGGGAGATCAAATGCAAACTTTAACTGCAGTTTCTTATCTTTCTGTATTAATATATAAAAATTAGTTTGCACTTTTTTTTTTTTAAATCTGAGTCAAAAAGAGGCTATTTAAGTATTGCTGCTCTAAATGAACTTCAAGAAATGTATGATCTAGTTCATTCACTTGGTCAAAAGCATGGTAGTATCCATCTTTCAAATTCAAAGAGATGGTGCCTGATCGTTGCCATTCATAAATAAACTTTATTTATTTTACAACAATTATGAAAAAGTTATTTTAACTTATATTAATCATTCTTATTGGCCTGGATGTTAGAGCGCGGGAGGTCTTAATGTGGGAGGAAACCAGAGTACCTGGAGAAAACACACGTGGTCGGGCAGGTAACCCCATACCTTTTCACATCCGATTGGGTAATCGAACCCCGGCCACCTTGGTGAAAGGCAAGTGCGCTATCCACTGCACCACCCGACCACCCTCGTTGCCATTCATAAAAAAAATATTCATCACATTATAATTATTCAAAAATTCATCACCTTACAAATCTTTCCCATAAAACTATTACTTTTAGCACGATTCTCAAAATCTAAAAAAACGGTTTTCAATATTATATTTTAAGATATCTTGCAAAAAGTCTAAAAATCTAGAACTATCTTTGGTTTTTGGTCAAAAATGTATGCATCAATAAATCAAAATCGCTTTTTCGAATTTTGAAACATTTTGGTAAAACAAATTGCCATACTTTTGATTACATCTTATTCACAAGATTTCAAAAGGAAGTTTTAACATTACCCAGTTATGACATAATTATGATTTTATAAATAACAACCTTTCTGAGATACGTAAATACCATCCTCCGGACGATTCTGTCATGGTCGATATTTGAACTATCTGGTGGGATGTATCGTTTAGCAACAAACCAATCAATCATATCCATCTTGACCTTGACCTTGCCAAAAAGCTTCTGACTGACCTTGCCATCCAGTAAAAGAAGCCGACATTTCCCTTTTGTTCGAACTCTGGCTGTACAGGGCACATCATACAGAACAGAAACCTCCCCAAAGTAGTCTCCCTCGAATAAATCTGCCATGACCTCCCCTGTTGAGGTCATAACCTCAGCACGCCCCTTCTCTATAACGTATATTCCACACGACCTTAAACCTGTGTAAAGTAAAAGAAACATTATTCCCAACACATTAAATTATGCAACTTCATGATCTTTCATACTGAATGTTTAAAAAAGGAAGAAATGAAAAAAAAAAAGAAGCTAAAATTAAGTTTTAATTAATATGACGAATACATTAGTTATACTAGATATCATTCAATTTAGGAGATATCTCATTACAAACTGATACAGCTCTATTTATTTTGATAGATATCTCCATTACAATTAAAAGACATATTTACATATTTACTACATTTAAAGATATCTCTATTTGAATTAAAGATATCTATGCCTTTTAAAAGTATTTCTATTACAAATAAATAAATATTCATTACATTAATATATATATTAACTACATTTTAAGATATATCTTAATTACATTTTAAGGTATGTCTTATTCAATTAAAGATATCTATATTGTTTTTCAGAAATATCTCTTACAATTAAATATATCTGTATTACATTTAAAGAAATCTCTATTTGAAATTGAATGAAAGATTCTATGTATTTCAAAGATATCTCTATTACAATTAAAGATATCTTAATTATATTAATAGATATATATTAATCACATTTAAAGATAGATCTAATTGATTTAAAGATATATCTTTTTTTGTTGTTGTCCCTAATAGTTAAAGACATGTTAAGTTATTACTTTTAAAGATATCTCTATTCATTTAAACTTAAAGGTACATCTCTGTCTATTAGAGATTCTTATGAATCTGGTTGTATTAACCTTTGCAAACGACATCTTGACCAGATTCGTACTCTCGAACCACGACTTGGCTGGTCAGGTTCTCTAACACTTGGTCTGTTAGTACCGGCTTGGCTAGTGGAAGGGAACACAGACAGCGCCGGATCTTCTGAAAAATCAAATTAACAACAATATGTATGATTCCAACTGTGTTCTTTACGCATGTTTGAGATGTTTACTGATTCTACCGCAGAACAGGAAAGAATGAATTCGTTACACAGTTAAGACGGAGAGGTAAGAATTGGCGGTATCGTGTTAAACAAGAAAATGCCTATAAATATTATACTGTATCCAGGTGAATCTGGCCTCACATTATTTAGTTGTGTTACCTTACATAAGAAGTGAATATCAAAGATGGACTATTTGATTTACGTAATTGCCACTGCTACTGTAAGGCTACCTGAACCATTAACGGCGACAGTTCTTGTGTCTCTGTTTTAAATGGTATTTCATTAATCGATTTTTCCTCTCTGTCGATATTTGAGTCCTCTTCCTGGATGTCCGTTCCATCTTCTTCGTCGTTTTCATCAACGACGGTTGTAAGTCTACTGTCTTTGTTCCCCATTCTAGACCTGTATAACCGAGATTTTGGTTGATCAATGTCGTATAAGTGCTTGAGTTTCCGCGCGGGAAATTATGAAGTGACTTGAAGCAAAATCAGTTCAGTATAATTTGCCTATCAGGTCTGATATAAAGCGTAGGCCTAACAATTACCAAGCGCTTAGCTGCCATGTAAGCAAATAAGCAGTTGCATGCACATCAAGAATTCTCAAATGTACACCCTATTTCACTTGTATTTTTTTTGTCACGGTGTTGTCCGATAATCATTAGTCAAGAACCGCCATTGCCATCCTCAAAATTCAAGGTGCAACATGTACAGCTACTCTCTCTTCCTTTCTTTGCAAATAACGAAAGTGAGTGTGACCCCTGGTCATTCAAAGGTGCTTTATTGCTAGGGGTCTACTGGGTGTTCAGTCATTTTAATATAAGGAATTTTATTTAAGTTCTAAATTTTTTTTCTAAATATTGAGGAATTCAAACACTTAATCATTGCTCTCAAAAGCCATCGAATAGCCGGGCACCAGAGACCCCTTCTAAATTTCTAGTGTTTCTAGTGTTCACCGACTGGAACTGTTGATTAAGTATAGTGGCCCTTGGTCGGCGTGACACTGCGAAGGAAGCCATCTCTGTTGAAGTGAAGTGATTCCGCTGGAGTCCTGCTTCCTACCCTTCATATAGGACTAGAATTTTCGGGGATCTTCTGCGAGGTTACTGGTGACTTTTTCCTCCAGGTAATTCCTCTCAGCACGTTTTGATTCCTTCTGGAGCTCGGCCTTCAATCTCTTATACCGTTGGGTGTCCCATGGGTTCGCGGTATACGCTTAGCTAGTGAGTAGGCTCTCTGCTTTCGTTTGCGTCTGCGTAGTCCTTTTGTCATCCATGGATGCGAGTATCTACCAAGTGTGCGACGTGTGGGGACGTGTTTGTCTATGACTCTAGAGAGAGTGTCCTTGAAGCTATTCCACATATCGTTGATGCTGTTGTATGGTTGTGTACCGAAGTTTTGGATGTTGCTCTTCAGTTCCTCCTTCAAGGCCTGGCTCTTTTCCACAGATAGATTGTTCGTCTGGCTGGTTTAGTCCTATAAGTTTAATAGGTACATTGTAACTAGACTACTTTATTGATAACGGCAAATTAATATGTTAAACATGCAATACACGTGAATTCCGTATCGAAAACCAAGTCTGGTTTTTGTAATAAACTGGCGCATTCGTCAATATTTATACAGTGTAGCAGCATCTTATATATTATTCGCCTAAATTGTGCCTCTAGCCCGGCATATATGACGCGACGAGGGGAGAGGTTTCGTACGGGACGCTTTCGGTTACCAGTTGTTAGCCGCCAAACGTTAATCGGAAAACACTCGGGAGTTTCCGTATGTTTACGTCACGACAAAATTAGTGCTAGGATTACTTTAATAGCAATATGACGGAAATACCCGAACATATCCTTATTTTGAACCTATTCAAATATGATACTGGTTTTAGGGTTATAAGTTAAAAACAACGTATATTAAATAATTAAGTACTCCAAAATTTCGATTTTATTTTATTTCATCTTACTTTATTTAAATAGTAATTAATTTATTTATTGCTTTATTGACAGGGGTAGGGGTAAATCAGCCACATTATAAATTTAAAACGATATCATTATATATCAGTTATTTCGGACTACGTACTGGGGATACAAAAGTGATAACCATAACTGATAAACCAGTATGTGTCTCTAATCAGGGGTGTTATCTACCTGGTACAGGCCAAGGGAGACCGTGACTCCACACACGTACCTCGCCCGTATGTGTGTACGTTTACGTGTACAAACGAGATACATACACAAGATCATATGTTAATTCAGTATTCACAATGAAATCGTTTCTTCAATGGCTTCCGGTTTTCTTTGTCCTTTCGAAAACACTGAAAGTACAGTTACCAGAATGGCCTACTACATACAAGGTAAACATTTTGTTTGATAAAATTGCGTCTAAAAAATAAATTGCGTCTAAAGTTGTTTAGATAAATCAGATCAGTTTGTACATCTGTAAACACACTCTTTTTGTCGTCTGCTTCAGTCAATCGGAATTCGGATGGTGTGGCTCTTTCTAGAGAGCCTCCGAATAAGGGAATTAAAATATGACCGGGAAACTCGAGCGCGTGAGGCAGAAAACGATATTTGCTTTCACCGTCATACATGCATGATCTATATAGTTGATCTAATCAGACACGCTGTTATATTTATGAGGCATACTAATTTTTACTTTACCAAAGGCGTGTGTTTACGTGCAGAACGATCATGAATACATCCCCACGGGATGGTATGTCAACGGACTAACACGTAAGATGCGACTTGATAGCTACAGTACGTCGGAGGGTGAGTATGGTGTCTTTTGAGGTGTCTTGCCTTTTTTGACGTGCATTGTGTCCGTCTTTTAAAATTTAAATTGTGTTTCAGTTAAGAATGATCTTCTCGGGAAATGAATATGCCTGCACAACATGCAAGGCACGTATGGGACTTTTCTTAATGTGCATGCGATTTTATATTTTTGGAACGTGTATACAAATATTTTCACGTGTATTTTGTATTTTTCTTGCCTATTTTACTCGTATATTTTGTACATTTTCCATGCACAGTTTATATTTTTGTAACATATCTGTTGAACATTTATACTCTACCTTTGTTTTGTATATGTACCCGTGGCCCCCCCCCCCCCCCCCTCCCCTCTGAATTTTAAGATACACTTCATATGATTGGCTTGTATTATATAGCATAACGTGCCTTGCCCGACACGTCATGCGTGTGTTTTACGCCCATTTGCAATCACAAAAACTCAGCAGGTATTAATTAATTATATAGAATATTTATAGCTTTTTTCTTACCCATAAGACAACCCCAGTAACCACACCCACGAAGAGGATGGATTTGACTACGCATGCTCACACCTTGGGAGACCTTTATACACCTATTTATATCACTATGACAACGGGAAAGAATATGATATATTCCCTGCCCCGAAGAAACCGTATCACCAATGTACGACTTAGTAAGTATATTTTATAGAAGGAACGGTGACTGAAAGAAAATTAGCGCATTCCCTTACCATATTTGCATTCAGTTTTTTTATAAGTTTTTTCTCTCTCAAAACTTTCATGGGACATCCTAGGTAAAAGATTACCAGTTCAAGATTATTATTCACTGTCTGTACCTCCAAAATCTTATGTGATATTCATACAAACTGTGATAATACTACTACCTAGTGCTGAATATATGCTTTTTACTCGAAATAATATAATTTTTAGTCATATGCATTTTGTGATATCTGAAGGTTAGTCTTTCATCAAATACCATTCTGGGATCTCATTGCTTGTGTAATGTAATTTTATGTTTGCCATGTATATTTTACCTGAATAACCATTATCATTATCATTATTACAGTTATTCAGTAAGAGGATCTAGACTCGGATTCCGTTGATGTAAATAATCAGAGCAATAACTGAATAGACATTTATGAAAATCGGAAGAATTGGAAACAAACTTGAGATTCTTTATATTGTATACAAATGTCTTCCTGGACAATTACAAACGAAAAAATCAATCTTAAATGTCTATCTAAATGACAACAGGACCCTATTGGGCGAGGGTTGATATGATATAGGATATAGCGTATAATGTCAATCTCATACAGTAGTCTCCCCTTACAGAGAACAGCTAGTGCTGTTTATGATATGACTGGTGCTGATCTCCAACTCTGGTTCTTTAAATAGCTTTCAGACCTCATTCTGAAAATCATCCACTTTGATATCTTGGAAGACTCAAAGAATAAAAAAGGATCATGTTATAACGGACTAAAACATATTTTTTTTCAGTTAGAGTTTTTCAAATGTAACAGGAGGATAGCTTAGTTGACTATAATATAACATCTAGAAAAAGGATTGTGGACTTCTTTTTGCAATTCCATGAATTACGAATCTGATCTGAGTAACATTCACCTCATCCTTAGGAGTAACATTCACCTCAGACTAAGGAGTAACATTCACCACAGCCTTAGGAGTAACATTCACCTCAGCCTTATGAGTAACATTCACCTTAGCCTTAAGAGTAACATTCACCTCAGCCTGAGACGTAACATTCACCTCAGTCTTAGACATAACATTCACCTCAGCCTTAGGAGTAACATTCACCTTAGCCTTTAGAGTAGCATTCACCTCATCCATAGGAGTAACATTCATCACAGTCTTAGGAGTAACATTCACCTCAGACTAAGGAGTAACATTTACCTCAGCCTTAGACGTAACATTCACCTCAGTCTCAGACGTAACATTCACCTCAGCCTTAGGAGTAACATTCATCTTAGCCTTTAGAGTAACATTTACCTCATCCATAGGAGTAACATTCATCACAGTCTTAGGAGTAACATTCACCTCATCCTTAGGAGTAAAATTCACCTCAGCCTTTGGAGTAACATTCACCTCTGACTAAGGAGTAACATTCACCTCAGTCTTAGGAGTAACATTCACCTCATCCTTAGGAGTAACATTCACCTCAGCCTTAGGAGTAACATTCACCTTAGCCTTAAGAGTAACATTCACCTCAGCCTTAGACGTAACATTCACCTCAGTCTCAGACGTAACATTCACCTCAGCCTTAGGAGTAACATTCACCTCATCCTTTGGAGTAACATTCATCACAGTCTTAGGAGTAACATTTACCACAGTCTTATCAGTAATATTAACCTCGGCCTTATCAGTAACATTCATCTCAACCTTAGGAGTAACATTCACCTCAGCCTGAGACGTAACATTCACCTCAGTCTTAGACGTAACATTCACCTCAGCCTGAGGAGTAACATTCACCTTAGCCTTTAGAGTAGCATTCACCTCATCCATAGGAGTAACATTCATCACAGTCTTAGGAGTAACATTCACCTCAGACTAAGGAGTAACATTCACCTCAGCCTTAGACGTAACATTCACCTCAGTCTCAGACGTAACATTCACCTCAGCCTTAGGAGTAACATTCACCTTAGCCTTTAGAGTAACATTCACCTCATCCATAGGAGTAACATTCATCACAGTCTTAGGAGTAACATTCACCTCATCCTTAGGAGTAAAATTCACCTCAGCCTTTGGAGTAACATTCATCTCTGACTAAGGAGTAACATTCACCTCATCCTTAGGAGTAACATTCACCTCAGCCTTAGGAGTAACATTCACCTCAGCCCTAGGAGTAACATTCACCTCATCTTTATCAGTAACATTCACCTTAGATTAAGGAGTAACATTCACCACAGCCTTATCAGTAACATTCACCTCAGCCTTTGAAGTAACATTCACCTTAATTTTAGGAGTAATATTCACCACAGCCTTATCAGTAAAATTCACCTCAGCCTTAGGGGTAACATTCACCTCATCCTTAGACGTAACATTCACCTTAGCCTCAGCCTTAACATTCTCCTCATCCTTAGGAGTAACATTCATCACAGTCTTAGGAGTAACATTCACCTCAGACTTAGGAGTTACATTCACCTCAGACTTAGGAGTAACATTCACCTCAGTATTAGGAGTAACATTCACCTCAGACTTAGGAGTAACATTCACCCCAGCCTTAGGAGTAACATTAACATCAGACTTAGGAGTAACATTCACCCAAGCCTTAGGAGAAACATTCAACACAGCGTTTGGAGTAACATTCACCTCGGCATCAGGAGTAACATTCACCTAAGTTTTAGGAGTAACATTCACCTAAGCCTTAGGAGTAACATTCACCTAAGCCTTTAGAGTAGCATTCACCTCAGACTAAGGAGTAACATTCACCACAGACTAAGGAGTAACATTCACCACAGCTTTAGGAGTAACATTCATCACAGTCTTAGGAGTAACATTAACCTCAGACTAAGGAGTAACATTCACCTAAGCCTTTAGAGTAACATTCATGACAGCATTTGAAGTAACATTCACCTCGGCCTAAGGAGTAATATTCACCTAAGTTTTAGGAGTAACATTCACCTAAGCCTTAGGAGTAACATTCACCTAAGCCTAGGAGTAACATTCACCTAAGCCTTAAGAGTAGCATTCACCTCAGACTAAGGAGTTACATTCACCTCAGCCTTAGGAGTAACATTCACCTCAGCCTTAGGAGTAACATTCACCTCAGACTAAGGAGTAACATTCACCACAGCCTTAGGAGTAACATTCACCTCAGACTTAGGAGTTACATTCACCTCAGACTTAGGAGTAACGTTCAACCCAGCCTTAGGAGAAACATTCCCCTCGGCCTTAGGAGTTACATTCACCTCAGCCTTAGACGTAACATTCACCTCATCCTTAGGAGTAACATTCACCTTAGCCTTTAGAGTAACATTCACCTCATCCTTAGGAGTAACATTCATCACAGCCTTAGGAGTAACATTCACCTCAGACTTAGGAGAAGCATTCACCACAGCCTTAGGAGTAACATTCACCTCGGCCTTAGGAGTAACATTCACCACAGCATTTGGAGTAACATTCACCTCGGCCTTAGGAGTAACATTCACCACAGCATTTGGAGTAACATTCACCTCGGCCTAAGGAGTAACATTCACCTTAGCCTTTAGAGTAGCATTCACCTCAGACTAAGGAGTAACATTAACCTCAGACTAAGGAGTAACATTCACCTAAGCCTTTAGAGTAACATTCACCTCAGACTTAGGAGTAACATTCACCTCAGACTTAGGAGTTACATTCACCTCAGACTTAGGAGTAACATTCACCCCAGCCTTAGGAGAAACATTCACCAATGCATTTGGAGTAACATTCACCTCGGCCTTAGGAGTAGCATTCACCTCAGCCTTAGGAGTAACATTCACCTCGGCCTTAGGAGTAACATTCACCTCGGCCTTAGGAGTAATATTCACATCAGTCTTAGTCACTGATGAAAATTGTTCAGTCCAGGTACATTAATCACGGAAAGACCTCACCTCAAGTCCACAATTGTATAATATTTCCATTTTAATAGACAGAAACAGCTATATATCGTAAGCTTTTTACCATTTTATCATATAGCATACACCGTCGATAGTTATGATATTGTCAAAAAAATAAAGAAAGAAAAACATGAAAATATTTCCACTTTTATAAATCTGACTTTGGCTGATAGGCAACAGGCAATGCGCGTATTCTACTTGAAGTAGAACGGATACGACCCTTGTAGGCCAAATATGAAAGATCAAGTTTTGGTTCGAGTAGAATACCATTGGATTGTGGCAAGATATGGCCAGAGTTTTCTTCAACCTTAATTTTACAACAGCCTGTTCCTACATGAGTCGGGAAAATATAAAATATTTTTATTGAAATTGGGAAGATATCACTGATTTTTCCTTCATTTTGGTAATATAAAGCACTTTTTGGCCAGGGAAAGCAGCCCGTATTTCTCTGTAAACCTTTTTGACTTCATTCCGTCTTTCCGAGGATGAACGAGTCCTCTCCTAGTGTTTTTGTCCTTGAATGATCTTGCTGCCTCTGTCCATGAGCCGAAGCCCAGATTTAGTTTTTTTTCGCTGCAAAACTATTCACTAATGGCCTAAGCATAGCCTGCAGTATCGAATATGCAAAATGACTCGTAGTAAGCAGAGCCAAGTATATGATCATTAATGTTATATCTATAAAATTATCACGCGTTTGACAAAGATAGTTCTTTACAGTAACATTTCGACGCAATATCCCCAAAGTCCACTGCTGTCCGGCCTAGAACTCATCGAACAAAGGACGGACAACTTCACCACGTACAACCACTGGAGGGCCGAGTACTTCCTTTTCACCAATGACTACTTCTTCCATGTCGCCAATGGGTTACCATACAAGTCAGTGAACATATTCATGATATATTTACATTTGCTCATGCATCCTTCCATTTTATTACATACTTACTAATAAATACGGGTTTTTTGTATATGCGATACGACACAATTGCTCTAACCCATATCAGCCCTCGCCGTATCACACCCCAAAACCCGTATCAGCCCGCAAGACCCATATCACACCCCTTTTGGAAATAAAATCGTTTTTCAATATTTCAAAAATAAAAATAAATCATAAGATAGTAGTTTTTATTCGTAAGTATGTAATAAACAGAATAAAACACGCCTTTTTCCATATCACACCGGGCTGATATTGCAGTCTCGGGTTGATACTGGGTGTGATATGGAAAAAGTCATGTATTATTCTCTATGTAATGCATTGCGAAGGCAAATGTTGTTATGAGACTATAACATCTCTATCTCACTTGCTCAATACTTTTGACTCGTATATCACAGATCGAACGATTGATCAATCAGGCGTGATCCGAATACCAAACACACTCGGGCAATATATTTGACCTCCGTTTATGACACTGTCAGCTACCGTTTTAGAGGATAGAACACGCGTGCGATCAACAGTGATAAAACGAATTAAAATGTTATTATAGGATTAACATTTTATTTAAAAATGGCACAACGATATTGATCAAATCGTGCTCATCCTTCCAGTAAACATCAATTTGGTCCGCGTCTTGCTTGAAAGGAATCACCCCCATTAGCCAGTGTAATGCAATGCGAAGGCAAATGTTGTTATGAGACTATAACATCTCTATTGTGACGTCATCAATTTCTTTGTTGTCAACACTTGATTTGTTGTTCAAAAACTGTTCGAAATAACTAAATAAAGCATAACTACTCTATCAAAATGTAATCTATAGATAATGAACATTTTAGCAAATATTGTTATGGTCCTACCGGGCTTTATTTGGTTTGTAATCAATAGCAATGTGTGTTATAGGACCATAACAACATTTGCTAAAACATTCATTGCTTAAAAATGCATTGTATATTCATTTAACGTTTCTGAAAATTACAACATTCGTGCGGGGGCCGCAGTGACCGAGTGGTTCAGGCGTCGCCAGCCACTTCCGCAGGTCGGTGGTTTTCTCCGGTTATTCCGGTTTTCCTCCATCACCCAAACTTGGCTCGCCCTTAATGACCATTGTTACAGTAATAGGACGTAAAGCACAAACAAACCGATCTCCGAGCGATTTCGACTCAGGTTTCATCTTTAATTCCGCATATAATATATGATGAATAAGCGAAAGCGCTAGATGTGATTGCAATTTTCGGTTTTAATTTTATCTCATCAACTAATACAGGGATACATTGATTTTCTTTTGATTCCGTAATAACATGTGTTCGTACAAATATCAACATGTGTCGACAATGGGCTACCGTACAAGTCCCGAAAAATAAATTATAAGCCACTGTATAAAGTGTGAAAGTATATATCGTTCACAACTTAAAAGAGTAATTTATACCACAGGCTCCTGAGTTTAGCAAAAACAAAACAAAAATATAATGAAAAACTGACTAAAAAGGGGCTGGTCCGGACAATGATAGGTCTCTTTACAGTTGTGTATGAACATATGTATAGAGGGTGATCATGTTCCGGATCTGTCCATTTATTTTTATTTTTCATTATTATTTATTTTGTAATATAGTTATATATTATCAAGAGCCTGTGTCTAAAACGACAGTAGCCAGGAAACATACATTATGTAACAGGCTACACACACCGTACAAGTCACTGCCAAATATCGTCTGAATATTTATAATTCAACGCGTTTCTCGGGTGATTATTATGAGCCATGAGTACTCTGAAACAGACTGTTGTAAGTGTTGTGTCAACAATTTGCAATATTTTTAATATTTTACGTTTGTATTCAAGATGTTTTATTCAGAGATATGCATTGTAAACTTGCTTTAAAGGTAAATGTATAAATGAAGCAAAAAGGGAAAAAACGTGTATCCCCATCGTGAGCGTCACCGTTGAATTTCGAGGATGAATTCCGAATTCCAACGTGTCATACCCCGTCCCAACCCTAGAATCCGCTCCATAATTTATAATTTAAAAGAAAGGCATAATATAAAATTCAAACTCGTCTGACTTTGTTTTAAAAATGTTGTTGCTGGGTTTTTTCTAGGGTTTACGTTGACGGCGTGGAGAAAACATTCATTTACATTGAAAATGTCATATTAGACGAGACCGTTTTCCTGGTTCCCGATGATGTCGTCTGCAAATCGGGATAACAAGCTGCAAAGGTGTTGCGTATTGTTTCAACTCAAAATACAATGAAAACAAATAGGACCTCGTCGTTTTAAAAGCCACAAGTCATAACTCAATAGAGAGAGACTATAAAAATCTGCAGAGAAAGAAAGTGAGCGTAACCGCTGGAAATTGCTTGAGAAAATGCTTTTCTCTGCCAAACCCAACCCCGGGTGGCATAACCAAACACAAAGATTGTCCACAACGCACAAACGTTGCCATTTAATCACAATTCACCATCATGCTTACAAAACAATCTACTGTATAAACCATCTGTATTGACAATCCTATCTCAAATCATAAATCAGATCCTTCATTTCCATTAAATACAGTTGCTTGAAGTAACCCGGCACTGCACTAGTCTCGTTCAACCAGACGCTTGATCTCTGCTCGGCGTAGCTTCCGCAGACAGCAATACAATAATAATCCGGAAGTTTATTTTTTATATCAAAAATTTGAATTTATACTTATTTGAAAATATATATGTATGACAAATACTGATACGTGATGGAATATTTTGAACAGTATGTACATTATTTAAAGGCGATTCTAGACGCCCATGTGCATTGTATGTATATATATATGTTTTTGTCATAAAATTTTGGAAAATGTAATAAAAAAAATAAAAAAAATATGTTGACTTCGATGAAAGATTTATACTGAAATATAAAATCTCGATACACTGCCAACAGGTTTCCCGCCAAATTTCGGCGATATTATTGGGTTTGTNGCATTGTATGTATATATATATATATATATGTTTATGTCATAAAATTTTGGAAAATGTAATAAAAAAAATAAAAAAAATATGTTGACTTCGATGAAAGATTTATACTGAAATATAAAATCTCGATACACTGCCAACAGGTTTCCCGCCAAATTTCGGCGATATTATTGGGTTTGTCGATATATCGAAGGAGGCAGAGTTTAGAAAAACAGACAGAAAGGACCTTGAAATATTGTTTGCGGAAAGTGTGATGGTAATTGAAATCAGAGTTACGGATTTGCCTGCATTCCCCTATTTGACAATTTTATTTAAACTACACAGAGATAGCTGAACATCTGATCAATGGGAACGTAATAGATTTGTGACAATATTGTCGTAATTCAAATCATCGCCCGATTTGTCACGTCATAATGATATAATTAGACACAGTTAGTTCAGCCTTGAAGAGCAATACTTCAATATTACAACGCATAGTTAACTTAACAATCAAAACTAGATTTTTTTAAAAGAAGGAAATAAAAAAATAACTCGCTTAAAATATCGTTAAATTTAACGTATAGTGATTTACTGATTCATTAATATAAAAATACATTTAAATACTTATTCATGGAACATATCTAGATATATTAACCACTTTTTAATTTTTGGGGAAAAGTTTCGATATGACAACAAATCTTCGTAAAGAGATGTAATTATATTGGAATTTCTACAAGAGTCAAATGTAATTTAAAACCCTTGAATGCAATTTTCATTCAAGCGATTTCAATGTTACATGCCTATGTGAATATAATCATCAAACGGACGTGACAGGAAAAGATCAACATATATTATACACTATCAAAACGATATGTTATAAATCTTAAGGCTACGCCAAACTCATTACTTGTTTTAGATCTGTGTTGATCTTTGCAACCAAGCTTAACAAAATTCAACTTTTTTCTTTCGGACGCCATATATTATTAATGTTGATGAAGCAGTGAAGCGTACATACCTCTTCCTGCAAAATTCTATGTCATAAACGCTCGTTCATAAAATAAAACCTCAAATTGTTATGGTATATTTATTGATATATATATGTAACCTCGATATACTGCCCTTTGTGTTTCCCTTGTCATGTCACTTTTCGCCAATATATTTGAAGGTTTCCTTTCCCCCTTTTCATTGCGTATGAAACACCTCTCTCGATATACCGTCAAACCCCTTTATATCGACAAAAATATTTGACGTTATAACGAGGTTTTTACAGTACTTTAAAAACAGCGTCGCCCGTTATCATTTTACCTTATTTTCAACATTATAAACCATTTGTGAAACGAAACAATATTATCTCGCTAGCTCAATACTTTTGACACGTATCACAGAACGATTGATCAATCTGGCGTGATCCGAATACCAAACACACTCGGGCAATATATTTGACCTCCGTTTATGACACTGTCAGCTACCGTTTTAGAGGATAGAACACGCGTGCGATCAAAAGTGATAAAACGAATTAAAATTTCATTATAGGATTAACATTTTATTTAAAAAAGACTCAACGATATTGATCAAATTGTGTTCATCCTTCCAGTAAACATCAATTTGGTCCGCGTCTTGCTTGAAAGGAATCACACACATTATAGCCATTGTGATTTAAAGAAAAACACAGCCGATTAAATCCGCATGCATAATTTTATTTATGCGTCTTCTAATAAAACTCGATTCAAGCTACCAGTGAGCGGTGTCAATGGTTGGGGTCAATTGAGAGAATGTTTTAATGGAGCCGTATTGCGAGTTATTACAAATTAAGCGACACGTAGACCGATGTGTATGAGTTGGTTAACTTACCGTCCCAAAAACGCTCCGGTCTGTTTACAGTAAAAATCGACTTAGTTTGTTTTCTTTTCTTTGACAATTATATACATAAATGTTAGTGAGCCACACAATAAAATTCTTTAAAACTTCAAAGGTCACACGAAGAAAAAAACCACAGTGTATATGTTACGGTTTGTGTATGCGACCAACAATAAGAAAATTTCGAGAGAAAAAATCCTTTCGTAAATTAAAGCTCACAATGATAAGATTTTAATGCGTGTGTGTGGTATGGAGGAGGGGAAGGGGGGTCTGGGTTTGGGGGTATGTCGTATAATGAAATGACATTTAGGGAGTTTACATACACGACAGCTAGTACACTTACCTGTACAAGTATACAGGTATTTAAGGACTTAATGAGCATATTTATCAAACACTTCTGGAGTTTACACTGTGCATACAAACATGTTTTGACTGTTCAGGTACACCTGTATATGTAAGGTGTATATTATTGATAAAAGCTTGTTGCGTTTGACTGCCGACATCGGAAAACTTGTCAACATTGAATATATGTAGTGGCTGCTTTCCATCAAACGGTCCGACCTTCTGGATCAGAACAGCGCAGGGTAGCACAAAAATAAAACGGGGATCGTCTTAATTTTCGGAATCAAATTACGGTGGAATGGATTATATTAACTGTTGAATAGGGTTACATTATAACCTTATTATAAATAGATAGAGAATGAATGAAGTATACACAACGATGGATGTAAAAGTAATGAAAATTACAGGTGGACGATCAGCCTCAACCGAATAATGGAAATTATGTATCAGGATCTCAAACGTTAAATATTTGACGTATGGTGGCATACCTGTATTTAAACTGAAGATACCGGCTGTAGCTACTGTATGTTCAATTTGAGGACGACGTCAGCTACCTGAATCGGTTTGTACACAATTGCAGTGTGTTTTAATGTGATACTACAGTTCATATTTCGTTATTATTAAGGAGCAACGCCTTTCTGTTGAAATTTTGAAAAGTTTAATTAATGCAGGAGTTACGAGGACGACCGTTCGTGACTCTCACTTCTATTTTGATGGCAAATGTAAGGAAACCTTTGCGTGAAGTCAACACCTTAATTAATGAGGAATTATGGGGGGGAAAAGTTCTCAAACATCAGTGAATAACATTTGATACAAAACAAGTGTATAAACATATATATTTAGTGCTGCGGTCGAGAGTGTCGCGGACCCACTTTGATAACGGTCGCTTCTCAAGGCATATTCACTATTCAGTCAAAAAGACATGAACGTCAAACGACCTAAACGGACAAATAAAAAGCGAGAACTACAGCTTCCGTCCGTCTTTCTCAATAATAGCTGGAATTCTAACGAAGATCCAGAGGAACCGGCTGAACTGGGTTACAAACGTTTACTTCCGGTCAAGTTACCCAACGGAAGTTCCAAATTGTCCCCGAGACAACTTAGTGACAAGACGCAACTTTGGAGCAATGGGAAATCTGGAAAGAGTCGCTTTCAAAAAGGAACTCACAAATACGGAAACATCTCGGAAACAGGTATATATAACGAGAGTGTCGATAAATTTTACAAACTTGTTACGCGGGAAAACTCCATAATGCTCCCACCACTACAGACTTCCAGTAGAGTCAAGTTCAACATCTCAAACTACATCGATATGGCAGAGAAGAAATATGTCATGAGAGATTTTCAGACGGAAGGAAAAATGTCCAAATTTGCGCGTGACGAGGTATATATTCCCAGTCTTAACAAAGAAATGTTCACATGTTACGAATGCAGACGACGTTACGTAAGTGATATGTACACGGAAGCGTTCGCCACGAGAAATTCCAAGAAGCCCAAATGTGTTGCCATGGCAACAAGGAACAATAAGAAGAATTCTTCTATCAGAGGTCGGGGAACTCGTGCACAATTCTGTGACGTGCTGGGGAAACGCTTTTGTTCGGAATGTGGGGAAAGTGAGAACAGAAAGATGAGACAGGCCATTTTGAATACGTATCCGACAGGACATGAAAATGGCATGGAATCCGATTCGCCTAGTCACATGCAACAAAGGAGGTCATTTCACCGGAAACGCGTCATCATTAACCCAATACCTACGCTTGTAACCTATGACGAAAGCTGACTTACAGACTCGCAGTCATCACGTGCGACGGGCTTCATGTGATATAGACATGGACAAAGGTATCGACAGATTAATCAGTGTAATAAGTGTAAACTATGGCAGATCAAGAAACAGATTCTCACAGTGTTGTTTTCATTCACATTTTTCTTCTGTCAATGTAAAGTTCGGACCATATGTCACACAAGGACAATCAAATTAACACGTGTTTCATGAAATCGTTCTTCAGCTCAAACTTCGATTCTCTCTACAGCCCAATTCCCTTTTTCGGTGATGAATAATTCATATTTTACATTTATTTCCTAAAAAAAATGGAGGAATTTCGGAGAGACATTCGACATCCGTTCTTTCATCTTATTCACTATGCACATTTCTTCATTACATGTTTCATGTTTAAGCATTATAGTGGCTTCCTGAATATGGGCAGAAATCCAAGGTTATATTGTAGCTATTTTACGAAATACACTTAATATGACACTCTTGTTCTGTTGTCAACATAACTTTGTGTGTTCTGTTGAGCAAAAGACATTTTGGTTCACTGACGCTTAGTTCTTCAGTTCTGTGGATATTACATTGATACCTGTGTTCTGTTAACACTGGGATCTTGTGTTTTGTTGTCACCAAGATCTTGTGTTCTGTTGACACTGAGATCTTGTGTTCTGTTGACACTGAGATCTTGTGTTCTGTTGTCACCTAGATCTTGTGGTCTGTTGTCACCAAGATCTTGTGTTCTGTTGTCACCTAGATCTTGTGTTGTGTTGTCACCTAGATCTTGTGTTCTGTTGTCACCTAGATCTTGTGCTCTGTTGTCACCAAGATCTTGTGTTCTGTTGTCACCTAGATCTTGTGTTCTGTTGTCACCGAGATCTTGTGTTCTGTTAACATTGCTATCTTGTGTTCTGTTGACACTGATATCTTGTGTTTTGTTGTCACCGAGATCTTGTGTTCTGTTGACACTGATATCTTGTGTTCTGTTGACATGGAGATCTTGTGTTCTGTTGTCACCGAAACCTTGTGTTCTGTTGACACTAAGACCTTAAAATCTGCTGACACTGGGAGACATTGTGCTATGTTGACACTGGGAGACCTTGTGTTATGTTGACATCGAGACCTTGTGTTCTATTGTCACCGAGATCTTGTGTTCTGTTGTCACCGAGATTTTGTGTTTTGTGTTCTGTTGACACTGATATCTTGCGTTCTGTTGACACTGAGATCTTGTGTTCTGTTGTCACCGAAACCTTGTGTTCTATTGACACCAAGACCTGAAAATCTGTTGACACTGGGAGACCTTGTGCTATGTTGACACTGGGAGACCTTGTGTTATGTTGACACTGAGACCTTGTGTTATGTTGACATTGAGACCTTGTGTTATGTTGACACTAAGACCTTGCGATCTTTGGACACTGAAACCGTGTGTTCTGTTGACAACAAGACCCTGAAATTTGTTGACACTGAGACCATGTGTTCTGTTGTCACCGATACCTTGTGTTCTTTTGACATTAAGACCTTGGAATCTGTTGACACTGAGACCCTGTGTTCTGTTGACATTAAGACCTGGAAATCTGTTGACACTGGGACCGTGTGTTCTGTTGACATAAAGACCTTGAAATCTGTTGACACTGATACCTTGTGTTTTGTTGTCACCGATACCTTGTGTTCTGTTGACATTGAGATCTTGAAATCTGTTGACACCGAGACCACGTGTTCTGTTGACATAAAGACCTTGAAATCTGTTGATACTGAGACTTTGTGTTCTGTTGTTACCGAGACCCTTGTGTTCTGTTGACATTAAGACCTTGACATCTGTTGACACTGAGACCTTGTGTTCTGTTGACATTAAGACATTGAAATATGTTGACATTGAGACCTTGTGTACTGTTGACACTGAAACCTTGTTCTGTTGACATTGATACCTTGTGTTCTGTTGACATTGAAACCTTGTGTACTGTTGACATTGAAGACCTTGCGTACTGTTGACATTGAGACCTTGTTTTCTGTTGACTTTGAGACCTTGTGTTCTGTTGACATTGAGACCTTGTGCACTGTTGACATTGAGACCATGTGTATTGTTGACACCAAGACCCTGAAATCTGTTGACATTGAGACCTTGTGTTTTGTTGACATTGATACCTTGTGTTCTGTTGACATTGAGACCTTGTGTTATGTTGACAATGAGACCTTGTGTACTGTTGACATTGATACCTTGTGTACTGTAGACAGTGAGACCTTGTGTACTGTTGACATTGATACCTTGTGTACTGTAGACATTGAGACCTTGTGTACTGTTGCCATTGAGACCTTGTGTTCTGTTGACATTGTGACCTTGTGTACTGTAGACATTGAGACCTTGTGTTCTGTTGACACTGATACCTTGTGTTCTGTTGACATTGATACCCTGTGTACTGTTGACATTGAGACCTTGTCTACTGTTGACATTGAGACCTTGTGTAATGTTGACATTGAGACCTTGTGTTCTGTTGACATTCAGACCTTGTGTACTGTTGACATGGAGACCTTGTGTTGTGTTGACATTGATACATTGTGTTCTGTTGACACTGATACCTTGTGTTCTATTGACATTGATACCCTGTGTACTGTTGACATTGAGACATTGTCTACTGTTGACATTGAGACCTTGTGTAATGTTGACATTGAGACCTTGTGTTCTGTTGACATTCAAACCTTGTGTACTGTTGACATGGAGACCTTGTGTTCTGTTGACATTGATACCTTGTGTTCTGTTGACATTGATACCATGTGTACTGTTGACATTGAGACCTTGTGTTGTGTTGACACTGATACCTTGTGTTCTGTTGATATTGATACCTTGTGTACTGTTGACATTGATACCATGTGTACTGTTGACATTGAGACCTTGTGTTCTGTTGACATTGAGACCTTGTCTACTGTTGACATTGAGACATTGTGTTCTGTTGACATTCATACTTTGTGTACTGTTGACATTGAGACCTTGTGCTCTGTTGACATGGAGACTTTGTGTACTGTTGACATTGATACCTTGTGTACTGTTGACACTGATACCTTGTGTTCTGTTGACACTGATATCTTGTGTTCTGTTGATATTGATACCTTGTCTACTGTTGACACTGATACCTTGTGTTCTGTTGACATTGATCCCTTGTGTACTGTTGACATTGAGACCTTGTGCTCTGTTGACATTGAGACATTGTCTACTGTTGACATTGATACCTTGTGTTCTGTTGACATTCAGACCTTGTGTACTGTTGACATAGAGACCTTGTGTTCTGTTGACATTGATACATTGTTCTGTTGACACTGATACCTTGTGTTCTGTTGATATTGATACCTTGTGTACTGTTGACATTGATACCTTGTGTACTGTTGACATTGAGACCTTGTGCTCTGTTGACATTGAGACATTGTCTACTGTTGACATTGATACCTTGTGTTCTGTTGACATTCAGACCTTGTGTACTGTTGACATAGAGACCTTGTGTTCTGTTGACATTGATACATTGTGTACTGTTGACATTGAGACCTTGTGCTCTGTTGACATTGAGACATTGTCTACTGTTGACATTGATACCTTGTGTTCTGTTGACATTCAGACCTTGTGTACTGTTGACATAGAGACCTTGTGTTCTGTTGACATTGATACATTGTGTTCTGTTGACACTGATACCTTGTGTTCTGTTGATATTGATACCTTGTGTACTGTTGACATTGATACCTTGTGTACTGTAGACAGTGAGACCTTGTGTACTGTTGACATTGATACCTTGTGTACTGTTGACACTGATACCTTGTGTTCTGTTGACATTGAAACATTGTGTACTGTTGACATGGAGACCTTGTGTTCTGTTGACATTGATACATTGTTCTGTTGACACTGATACCTTGTGTTCTGTTGACATTGAAACATTGTGTACTGTTGACATGGAGACCTTGTGTTCTGTTGACATTGAGACCTTGTGTAATGTTGACATTGATCCCTTGTGTTCTGTTGACATTCAGACCTTGTGTACAGTTGACACTGGGAGACCTTGTGTTCTGTTGACACTGATACCTTGTGTACTGTTTACACTGATACCTTGTGTTCTGTTGACATGGAGACCTTGTGTAATGTTGACATGGAGACCTTGTGTTCTGTTGACACTGTTACCTTGTGTACTGTTTACACTGATACCTTGTGTTCTGTTGAAATCGAGACCTGGTGTTCTGTTGACATTCAGACCTTGTGTACAGTTGACACTGGGAGACCTTGTGTTCTGTTGACACTGATACCTTGTGTACTGTTTACACTGATACCTTGTGTACTGTTGACATTGAGACCTTGTGCTCTGTTGACATTGAGACATTGTCTACTGTTGACATTGAGACATTGTGTTCTGTTGACATTGAGACCTTGTGTAATGTTGACATTGATACCTTGTGTTCTGTTGACACCGAGACCTTGTGTTCTGTTGACATGGAGACCTTGTGTTCTGTCGACACTGATACCTTGTGTTCTGTTGACATTGAGACCTTGTGTAATGTTGACATTGATACCTTGTGTTCTGTTGACACCGAGACCTTGTGCTCTGTTGACATGGAGACCTTGTGTTCTGTTTACACTGATACCTTGTGTACTGTTGACATTGAGACCTTGTGTACTGTTAACATTGAGACCTTGTGTTCTGTTGACATTCATACCTTGTTTTCTGTTGACATGGAGACCTTGTGTTCTGTTGAAATTGAGACCTTGTGTACAGTTGACACTGGGAGACCTTTGGTTAACACTAAATAATGTTTGGCTTGTTCACATTTGGTATGAATACTGTGTCCAGTTAACATTGATTGATAGTTAATGCGACTGAATGCTTGGCTGTTCATAAAATAAATTAAACAGTTTGTTGGTGAATTTGTTGACATTGATACCATGTGTACTGTTGACATTGAGACCTTGTGTCCTGTTGATATGGAGACCTTGTGTTCTGTTGACATTGATACATTGTGTTCTGTTGACACTGATACCTTGTGTTCTGTTGACATTGAGACCTTGTGTACAGTTGACACTGGGAGACCTTGTGTACAGTTGACACTGGGAGACCTTTGGTTAACACTAAATAATGTTTGGCTTGTTCACATTATGTATGAATACTGGGTCCAGTTAACATTGATTGATAGTTAATACGACTGAATGCTTGGCTGTTCATAAAATAAATTAAACAGTTTGTTGTGGAATTATACGCTTCCAAAACTCCAACAGTTGCAATAAACATTCCTAAAACATGTTCAGATTATACAACATTGGAGTCACAGGAAAAACTTATTTACCAGATTTAAAAATATTCTTTCTTCAATTATCCAAGTACAAGAACATGCAATTAATTTACATATGACAGAAAAAACGAAGAAGTTTTTTCCCCATTTTTATCTTATTTTTATGCATACAATCCAAAATACAGTCCTGTATGCAGGTTTATTCTTTGGTGGTCTGAGGTGGCGCAGTGGATAGTGCCCTCACATTTACAAAGGCAGCCGGGGTTCAAACTCCCCCATTGGACATGAAAAGGTATAGATTCACCTGCCCGATCACGACCACATGGTTTTTTTCCTGGCACTCCAGTTTCCTCCCACATTAAGACCCTTTGCTACTTCCATCCAGGCCAACAAGAGTGATTAATATATGTTACAATAAGTTATTTCATAATTGTTGTAGAATAAACAATGATTATTATCTTGGAGTAACTTCTTTCACGGCCTTGTAGTCCAGTTAGTCAATCTACCAGAAAAATTGCACAAAATTTGAAATAATTGCAGCAAATTTTATTGTTTCTGTTTTTTGTTGAGATGAATATCTAAATAATAGTAAAAACAAATCTTTCATAAAGAACTCGCACAACTAAATCATTTACTAGATGTTATTACTAAGCTTTAGAGCTGATAGCTTTTAATATTTGAAGTTCAACACTAGTGACAACTGTCTAAATTCATAGAAACATACCTGATAAAGGCATCAAAAGGCATTTTTGGCGGGTTTGATATCATATATAAGCACTACAGGGTTCTGCTTTTGACAACCAGAAGTTTACAAACCAAACCAGTGAAGTGGGACGGGAACACCCCCTGACCTTAAAATCTAATAAAACTATGTTTTTCTAAAGTTCAATATCTGTAGATTTCGTCCAATGAAAAACTTGTCGACAATTACCTATTTAAATTACTCAAAGGCACCGTATTTAACTCTTACAAATTCAAGGTAGGGATTACAATCGTATGAAACACTTGCTGATTGGCTGATTTAGTTGTGCGAGTCCTAAAATCAATTATAAACAGCAAAGACAGAAAACATATCATTTTATTCTACAAGTGATTTGTTAAATAAAAATTATCACAAACAAGTTCTCTTGGTACAAATTTTGGAAAAATTATACCTGATGAACTGTACAAAACAAAGAAGAAATTAAGGTAGAGCGTCCCAGCACACTGTGTTGTAATTGTACCTCCAACAAAGAAGAGCTCCAATTTGTTTCACAATTTTCTGAATTACAGCTATTTGTCAATTCACTAACTGTAAAAGTGGAAATGTTGTCGAAGTTGAAATGCTCAGATTTTTCACGTTGAGTAAATTAGTGCGAAAATATCCAGATGCAAATGTGTATATATATATATATACTAAGTGTTGACATCTAGTCTGCTATAACAGACCATATTCGCAGGCTCCAAAATTCTGATCGGCCTCCTGTTTATGATCAACTATCAACTGCTCTATAAAACACGGGGATTTGTCGCCGAAATCTGGCGACAGCGATTGTCAGAGCATTACATGTTTGTAAGAGCAAATTTTTATTCATTGTAATATATAGATTACAAATAAACAGAACATACATGTATAGATTTCCTGAACATTTGTCAACACAAAAATGTCCACATCTTTATCAGACTGAAGAGTCAAAAAGCCATTTTAAGGTATTTCATACAGGCTCATGTCAGTGTATATAGTATGAAATGGGCTCATACTTTTCCTCAAAATGAAAAAAAATATCCCAAGTCAAAATATAGTGGCGCTGCGTATCACAGCAATTCTTTATTCCTACTGTATAATACAGCAGTGTTTTAGCAGTCGCATCATTCCTGCTATATATATCAGATCTGTACACTACAGCAGGATTTCAACAGCCGCTGAATCCCTGCTGTATAATCTCTATTTCCGAAATATATTACAACAGGAATCCCGCTGCAATGACTGCTGAGATCCTGCTGTGCATTTGCCTGCTGAGATCCTGCTCTAATGGCTGCTGAAATCCTGCTGTATTGCTCATTTAAATATTTGATACGCTGAAAATCTGCTAAATCCCTGCTTGAATCCTGCTGTAGGTACTAATAAATTAACCAACTATTTGTTCAATTAAGAGTACAGCAGTGATTTAGCAGGGTACAGCAGTGATTTAGCAGTGATTTAGCAGGGCACAGCAGTGATTTAGCAGGGTACAGCAGTGATTTAGCAGTGCAAAATTCCTACTAAAAACCTGCTGTAGATTCCACTGAAATCCTGCTTAAACCCCACTAAATTCCTGCTATATTTTGACTTGGGATAGAAGTTGGTTGCAATTTGGTATACCCATGTCAAGAACAAGGTCAATAATGACCTTTGAAGAAATCATTTGTCGAAAATATTGTTGATTTTGTATTGCATTGAATATTATAATTCATGAAAAAACTTAATACCTGTATATGCATTTTTGAAGTATCTGTGTATTCACTATTATCGAGAAAATGTGAAACAAGAGGCCCAAGGGCCTTAGAGGTCACCTGAGTTATATTAAAGGTACTTTTTAGCTCAATTTCATTGTTGAGATGTACAAAATGTAAAAACAACATGTAAACAATGTGAAATACAATACTTGTCATGTCAACAAAGGATAAGAACTTTAAAAACTATTCAAATAAATGATTTTGCTATTGAGAATTATACCCTCTCCCCAAGGGAGAGCAGATGAACTGGGGGATAATGAAATTTACAATTAAGGTAATTAAGGTAACTGAGTCTGATGAAGATTTTTTAAACTTTTAACCATAGTCCCCATTTGGGCCCCACCCCTCCAGTCTCTGGGGATGGGGCAGGATCTTATTTTCTCATACCATCTAATTGTCATCTGGCATCATAATCATTCCAACCAAGTTTGAATAATTTCCTGCTGAAAATGGACAAAATATACCCAAAAGTGTTATTTCCATATATAAACTATAGTAATTTTTACCCCCTCCCCAAAGTAGAATGGATGGCCCCGGGGTACTGAAATGTACAATTTCAACAAAGACCCTGATAGTCTTTCTATCGATACAGAGAAATTGACTGTAGTACCTCTGAGTCTGGAGAAGAAGATTTTTGAAATATTGGTTAACTTTCCCTGTGGGGCCCCAAAATTTACAATTTGATACCATCTTTCTCCAAGGATGATTCTCACCAAGTAAGAATAATTTCCTGCTGAAAATGGACAAAATATACCCAAAAGTGATATTTCCCTATATAAACTATAGTAAACTCCCCAATGGAGAATGGATGGCCCGGGGGTACCGAAATTTACAATTGAAATCAAAGCTCAGGTGACCTAAAAATGCTTCAAATATCAGAATGATGGCATGCATTTTGATTGGATATTTTACAATAATTCATAAAGCTAACAAGACTTTTGATACAAGTCGAGCCAGATTACCTGAGTGAGAACCTGTTTTGAATGGTGTACAGGTAAGAATCTCACTTGCTTTGCATGCTTTTTCCCAATCTCATTCAGCCTTGTTGGCTTTGTGGTTATTTGTGATTTATTCAGTGGAAACATATGCCATTATTCTGGAGATTTGACACATTTTCCTACATTTTTCTCGATAATAGTGACTACATGGATCCTTCAGGAATGCATGTACAGGTAGGTGTTTTCATTAATTTCATTGCAATTTTGTGCCACTCAAATTTCGCATTCAAACGTTACTTTTCAGTCAAAATCAAGAATATTTTTGACAATTAATTTCTGCAAAGGTAATTATTGACATTGCTCTTGACATGAGTATACGAAGCAACTTCCATACTTCATTCATTTTGAGGAAAATTATGAGCCCATTATAAACTATATACAGTACTGTATAACAGGAAATGTTCGTGGGTACTTTCCTTCGTGGTTTGAAGCTATTTATATCGTTTCCTGGTACAGACTTTCGTGGATATCCAATGTTAACAAACAGTAGACACGTATATCAGTCAAATTCTTTGTATTTATTTTCGTGGTTCAATAGCAACCACGAAAACCACGAATGTTAATACACAACAAACATAACACAAGAAAATATGAAACTTTTACAGTACAGTTTAGCAAAGGTTACACACCATGATGCATTCATTATAATTTTCCTTTTTCATAAAAACGCCTCTGCGTCAGGGATTTGAACCCCATGCAGACCTTTTTGATATATAGCAATGATTTTATTTTATGTCGTATTAAAACTTTTCTGCAACATACCTGGAAATTATTTTAAAAAGTTCTTTAACCTGTAAAACAGGCCAAGAAACGGTAATTTTCCTTGTATGAAATGAAAAGAAAATAACATGAATTTAACAAGAAAATAGCTTTTCAAGGCAAGTATAGGAAGAAAAAAAGGCGGGACTCTGTACCTTTACTCATTCACCCCTGAAATTTCATAATGAACTATTTCAACCTTTGAATTGGAAGAGTTCAAATGTTTCTAAGGGGGTAAATAAGTTAAGCAGCTTTCGCAGTATCTACTGTACGCATCAATTACATAAACCCGACTAGAGATTTCACTTCCGCTATATTCGGCTCAGCTATTTCCATAGCTCTATCACGTCCTTTTTTAATGACACCGCTTAAATGGTGTCGGTCACTCAGCAATCGTTCCATTTGAAGTCGTATAGGAGTCAGTTCCTCTATGAGAAGATCAGCTAATTTTAATTTGTACTGACCAGTTAAGACACCTGTATTTTCCTCACAAACCTGGGATGGTGATTTTTGAGTTATGGCACATTCTAAACCAATCAGATTCGAGATGCCTGGTCTATTGTCCGTGTCATACGTTAATTCAGAATGGCTATCTACTACGGCTTTCTTCACTTTCCTTCTAATTTCATCCGGAGAGTCTGTGAGATCTATTCTGCTGTTTGGGTTTGCCTCTGACTTGCTCATTTTCTTATCTGGCTGGCGAAAACTTTTTATTCGCGGAAGATCAGCTACATTTGCAAAAAAAAACAAAAAACTTGTTTTATTTTACAGAATTTATATATAGAGACAAACATGTATTACTGTAATAGACCACCATTGGGAAGTCAAATATGTGGTCATTCTGCACAAGAGGTGGTCTCTTAACACAGGTCCAGTTCACAATAAATTAATCAAAGCTGGGTTTGGTTTAAGGGGTCTCTTAAGTGAGGTGGTCTCTTAATACAATTTTCAAATTACAATGAAATCATTACAGTCGGGATTATTGAAAATTGTCTCTGAACAATGAAGGTGGTTGCTTGAGCATGTTCGACTGTACAGTGAAATCTGCTATTAAATCTCCCACACAGCGCGGCCAGACAGGATGTCAAAATGCCAAGGTCTAAGATGGTAGTTTTCTTTAAAAATTTGATTAAAAATGATGTCAGAATACTCCGAGTTGGATAAGACAGCATGCAGGATGTCGGAATACTCCGGGCTGGATAAGACAAGATGTCGGCATACTCAGGGGTTGGATTTGAAAAGATGTCAGAATATTCAGAGGTTCGAGTAGAAATGATGTCTGAATACTCGGGGTTGGATTAGACAGGATGTTGGAATACTCGGGGTAGGATTAGACAGGATGTCAGAATACTGGGGGTTAGATTTGTTAGGATGTCGGAATACTCTGGGTTAGATTGTACAGGACATCGGAATACTTGGGGTTTGATTAGACAGAATGTTAGAATACTCGGGGTTGGATTAGACAGGATGTTGGAATACTGGGGGTTGGATTAGACAGGATGTTGGAATACTGGGGGTTGGATTAGACAGAATGTT